CACACACTCACACTCACATGGGTCACACTCGCCCATCACAGATCAGAGCCTTCAGCCGGATTCATCTTCATCTTCATCTGTCTCTAATGTCATCACAAGCAAATCAACCATCACTAACTCACCAACCACCAGCCTCAAACTCTGCTTCATACGTGAGTGTGTGTGTGTGATTGTGTGTGTGTGTGTGTGTGTGTGTGTGTGATTGTGTGTGTGAGTATGTGTGTATTGATCTTACTTTGAGGTTGCAGGAACAAAAATCAGTGGAACATTTTCCCTCCAGAGACCTGCACAAAAACACAGACATTTACATGAGAAACTACATACAACCAGTCAGGAAAAAAAACAACAACATTATGTTAGTTTGTAAAATGTATGCAAGGGAGTATATTTTTATGTATGTATCTATCATTCACTGGCATTCAAATGTTTGAACTAATATATATTAGTTTAGTAATAGATTTTTAGGTCAACTATTTCTTTAATCACTGATATAGCACTCAGATATACTGTGTAATTGTTATGATATTTCATCTGTATCTTGTAGAAATAAAAAAGGTGCATAATGACAACTCATTTGAATTTCATTTGGCTGCAGTCGTATTGAAAAGCGACTCTGACATTTTAGGATAATTGTGCCATAACACTGTTATTTTTCATTAGAAGTGTTGATTATATGCTTGGAGGAACACAAAATGTGACCGTCAAACCTCAAAATGTGTAAATTTAGGATTAATGGAGGCACGTTTCTGATTGGATAGAAGCGACACCGTGTGTGTGTGTGTCCTCTTAAAACTGATCCACATCATCAAACAACATCATCAAGATTACGGGTTTAAAGGGATAGTTCACCCAAAAATGAAAAATTGATGTTTATCTGCTTAGCCCCAGGGCATCCAAGATGTAGGTGACTTTGTTTCTTCAGTAGAACACAAACGAAGATTTTTAACTCAAACCGTTGCAGTCTGTCAGTCATATAATGGCAGTCAATGGGCTCCACGGCTTTGAGAGTTAAAAAAACATACACAGACAAAACCAAATTAAACCCTGCAGCTCGTGACGATACATTGAGGTCTTAAGACACGAAACGATCGTTCTGTGCAAGAAACTGAACAGAATTTATATAATTTTTTATCTCTGATCCACCACAATGTCCAACTGTCCTGAGCGTGTTCACAACACTGTCAAACTCCATAACCGTCCGCTACTGAAGAACTGTGTGTTTTATCAGATTGAAGCTGCGTCACAAACGCTGCTGTTCGACAAATGGCGTTTTTTATAAATTCAAACCAATGACGTCTACGCGCTGTTTCCCGCCTTTGTGGCGCTTTGTGAATAACTAAATTAAAACAGCAAGCAAGCAAAATAATAACTCCTCTGCTGTATTTGAAATGGAGTTAGTTTGTATCTATGCAACGGGATTCAGTGTTGCACTGCTTTCTGCATCATATTATGCATATATAGTATATATGCATACTGATATTGTTTTGACTTTGCCATTAAAAAATAAATAAATACAATAAAAAAAACACCGATATGTAATATATTCCAGATCCAGAGCCCAGCCCACCATCTCCCCGCGGTGCGGAGCTAAAACCCGAGCCCACTGATGACAGAGAGCCAACTCCCGCCGCGATCTACGAGCCAGCGCAATGCCGAGTGACTGAGCGGAGGATCGCCCCGGAAGTAGAGCCTAAGCCATCAGACCAGGTGCGTGAGCCGGCTGCAACAGCCATCGCGAGGGAGAAAACCGTGGACGGTGAGAGCGTGGCGTGGAGTGGAGCCCACTGCACCGCGGCTGAGGGTAAGCTAATAATACATCTGGGACTGCTGGACTTAGAAGGGGATCTTATTGACTGGGAAACTGAGCTGGAAGCCTATTTGCCCCCTCTCCTCTCTCCTTCGTCCCCGCTGGTCCCGTCCAGCCCTGAGGGG